GTGTTGTGCTACTACATGGTTACTGGATGTGACTTTACAATTCTTTTCCTTCTTGAAATGTTTCTTTATGTATAGAATTCAATCTTAATCAGGTGTGACCACTTTTGCATGTAGTATGATGCTCTTTTTTTTTCTGAAGAAAGAATTTTAAATGCTACTTCAAAATCTATTATGATTCATTCACTTTCTGGTTTTACTTGTTTTATGTCATCATATCCTTCATGGATTATTTCAATACTTTCATTGTAACTTTCGATGTGTTCATTCAATTCATCTGTACGAGCACTCTTTCTGTTTCTACTAATACATATCTCATTCTCCATCATATTTCAGAAATTATCTTTTTCTTCACTTGCTCTTCCAATTTATAGGTAATATGCACTGATACCATTTAGTTTCATTCCGAAGTCTAGTTTTATTCTGATTAGCCTATCTGTTCTATGGCATACCAATGTTATACAGTTACAAGATAATAAACTAAATGACAGCCCTTAATTAATCAGGTCATTTTATGCTACAATTAATAATTAGAAATTAAGTAATTTTGTACTAGAGGTAGACTTTAGGTGCCATCTCTTGTTGAAATTAATAATTATAATAATTTAATATAATTTAGAACAGGCTGGAAGAAAAGAGTCAACCCAGAGTGGAGTCAAACCCTCAACCTCCACTTACTGTGCAGTGAACTGGCCAGTTACGCCACTTAGACCTCCAAGCAACTCTTCACTTCCAGACACATTTAAACCTTTGATATAACCACCCATGATTACTCATGATGCCGACTGGGGATGAATTCTACTCCCACTACCTATGCACTCTTCCAGTATGGCACTCAGCTGGCTATTGCTTTACCCAGCATGTTATATACATAGACATATATAAACATCACAAAGCTCAATGTATTAACAATAAACCAAATGACAGCCTTAATTAATCAGGCTCTTTTATGCAACAATTAACTAGATAATACTGATGCCATTTCTTTCTCACTTATTGGCTCCACTGTGGAAAATCTTATAACCAGCTCCAAGTATCCTTGCCTTGTCTCTCTTCCATTTAGTTTTCTGGATGAATTGTATGTCTGATTTTTGCTTTCTTTTGAGATCTGCAACTTCTCTTTCTCTTCTTGCCGTGCTACCAACATTGAGAATTCCATTCTTGTTAACATTTTTCTTACAAGAATTTGCTTTTCACTTGCATCTATTCATTATAATACATTAGCCCTTGCCCAATTTTTTATAGCCTCTGAGCATCTTGTTTGCACATTGAGGGTTATGGCCTTTTATTTTTTACAATAACATATTATAATGTTAAAATATTATGTTGTAGCAACAAGACTTAGCATTTGTCAGTATGTCTCTTTTTTTGTCAATAATAATGATTATTGAATTGATGAATGGAATGAAAGAAATACGAGAATTTAAAACATAAGTTTCTAAAAAAAATCTTGAAAACAATTTATCATTTTAACTAAACATTAACTTATTTTATACATTCACCAGATTTTTGAATTTATTTTTTATACAGTAATTTTGATACAGTAAAAATATTTAGATTGATTTTTATATTAAAAATCAAATATTGATGTCATATATTTTATGTAAAATAGTACTTAAATAACTTTTCATTATTATTTAATTCATTAATAAGTTGGTCAGATGATCATGCAGTAAGATGTTACTTTACTGCTATATTGATTACAGTGTAAATTTTATTCAGGCTTTCATAATTTATTATGAACAATACAAGTTCCAGCTTCATCCCTCATCTGAACTGGATGACTCCATTGAGGATCAATCATATCCATAATTGGATAATTGTGATTGATCTTGTAGCTTATAATATGCTAGTGGTAACTAATCAATCAATCAATCAATCATAATTAGTTAATAGAAACTATTTTATGATTTATCACTAAAATAATTTAGTTTATTCCTTCATTTTCTTAACATAACATGTGGAATATGTTAACAAATATGGAGGAAATTAATAATTAATTTATTCATTTCATTGCATTCAATTTTTTATCAAAAAATATGATTTAATATAAAATTATTTTTGATTTTTCTTTAAAAGAAAATAATCAGATTTCAAATCAGTTTGTTCAAAATTAATAAACCAATTGTAAATTGTATATAAAATATAATAAGTAGTAATAAAATTTTTTCCAAATTAAATAATATTTATGAAAATTATGGTACATATTTAATTTGGAATATTACCCAAAAGTTCATTAAAAAAATTTAAACTGTTATTTAAATACTTAAATACTAAATCGTATTTTTTTTATTTTTTTGCCAGTTTTGTAAAATAAAAACACATTCACATTACTTAACACAAAAAGAACAGTGCCAATATTAACTTATTCTTTAAACTACCATTTTGGAGTTTATATTTCTCACTTTTCTAGTATTTTCTGGTTCCTGTAAGTCATTATCAAGAATGTTCACAATAAATATAAAAACAAAATTATGTAATTAGCAAAAAGTCACATTTTCATAAAATATTAGTTTTATCTCAATCCAAAATTCTTTCATGATTATTGTCCTAATAATTTTCTTCATCCTAATTATCCTAAATTTAATAGCCACATTGTTACTTAATAATGTTTTGATAATTACTTAGCTGCAGCACACTAGTGTGTCCCAAACTTCTAAGAGGACCAAGCTAACTGTTTATCTACTTTTTAAATAGTATTTGCATAGTTTTTACTTATAAAAATACACATTTTTGACATTACTTTAAATTTATTATGAGTATCTTTGATGCCATACACTGACTCATTGGTATGCCACTAACTGTAAAACATTAAAAATCTTGAATGATGGGAACCAGAAAGTGCTAGGAATAATAAAAAATTAAAGTTAAAGAAAAGCAGTTTAAGGAATAGGAAGAAAATATTCAGAACTTCTTATCATTCATATTCACAAGCATATCCAAAGCACCCAAAATAAAATATGATTAAAAAATTTTTTGGGCCAGTCTTTATATATTATAGAGATACTTTTTTTTTTTTTGGTGTAGAATTTTATTTATGTCTGTTTATAAATGTAATAAACATTTTATTTTATTTTCATTTGAAATACAAAAGGAAATGATTTCCAGAGGAAAGAGGATATAAAGTTATTAGGAATTTTCAGAGATTACGATGAATTTTAATTTTGAATTTAAAAAAAAAATGAAATAAAATAAAGATATTAATGAAATGTCTGACGAAATTAAACTATTAGTAAACAGAAAACAAAAAAGTAAAATCAAAACATATTTGAAAATTCAATAATTTCGCACAGGACTAGTGACAGATGTTAAATTATATATGAAAAATTCATTTAATAGTATAGAAAACGAACAAATAAAGAATAATAATACCAATAATACAATACCAAAATCGCTCAGCCACTAAATAATAATAACGAAAACACCTTTTTTTGCCGAGAAATAAATATAATTTGCAAAAACAAACGTTTTCAACCTAGTTAATAGGCCATCTTCAGGTCGAAAAAATGGAACGCAAATGTTCCATAAATAGAACATAAAAATATTTAAATCAAAAAATTTTACAGGCAAAAATAACGGAAGAATATATAAACAAATAAATTAATTAATTAATTAAAACAGAAATAACATAAATCTTCAGTGGATTAATTCTGGTCGAAGTTTCTAGTATATTTCTTTACNAACAATCATCAAGCCTCTGTCTTCCCCAACTCTAGCAATGACGGCGGAGAAAATTGAAATATACAGAAGTAGGATAGGGGAAGGCTGTTTAAATGCGAGAGATGCGGAGAGCCTACCATCGGCATGGAAATATTTGGTAAAGAAATATACTAGAAACTTCGACCAGAATTAATCCACTGAAGATTTATGTTATTTCTGTTTTAATTAATTAATTAATTTATTTGTTTATATATTCTTCCGTTATTTTTGCCTGTAAAATTTTTTGATTTAAATATTTTTATGTTCTATTTATGGAACATTTGCGTTCCATTTTTTCGACCTGAAGATGGCCTATTAACTAGGATGAAAACGTTTGTTTTTGCAAATTATATTTATTTCTCGAAAAAAAAGGTGTTTTAGTTATTATTATCAAATAAAGAATATTCGAGTCCCCCTTAAATTAATTATCGATTTCTTTACTTAAAGTCGATAAATTTTGAGGAAACAATAAACAATATTTAAAATAGATAATTTCATCAAATAAGAAAACTCTAAGTATTTCTTTTAAAGTAAAATTAATTGTATATATAGTTTTAACGAATATATTATTATAGAGTAGGATTTTTTAATCGCTCGTAATTTTATTTTTCAACCTGTGGTTCGCGATTCCCATTTAGACTACTTTGAATGTATCAAATGATCAAAGATTGGGAAACGTTCTGTCGGTTTTGTTGAGTGAATTTATTTATTTATTTGTAGTTTTTAAATTTTTCTTAATACTTATTTATTCAAATTAATAGAATATCTGATTAAAATTAACTTATGGGTAATTTTTTTAAAAATTTCGTAAGTATAAAAAATTAATTTTTTCTATTTAACTGTAAGAATAGGGTTTAATAATTAACCATAATAATTATTTAAAACTTTTCATTACAATTTGTTTAATAAAATAAAAATAAAAAAATTAGACGAAAACAAATTAGTTTTTTTAAAATTAGTGCTGCCATCTGGCGGTAACAAAATAACTTTTCTGTGAACGGATTGTTAAAATATTCATGCATTTATTCGAGTAAATGTAAATAATAATTAAAAAAAATAAATCGAATAAAAAATTCTATTCAGCGATAAAACAATAAAAATAGAATGTTAATCAATATTTTGTCGGAAGGCGTGCCAATGGGCGTTGTTTCCTTTAACGGAAGCGGCAGACTGCACGAGGATATTTCCAGCGCGTGATCGGAACGACCTTTAGTGTCAAAATGAGATAAAACTTTGACGTCATTACCTGATCTTCCTATGTTATTTTGATATCTTGTTAAAGTTGTGTTCGTTTTTACTTACAGATGTTATCGAAACAGAGTCCTTACTTTTCGCCGACGCAGACAGGTTTGTTTTGGTTTTTTTTTCTTTAATTTTTTATTGTTTACAATGCCAAAATACCTGTACCACGTGTTTATCCAGATTTAATAAATAGCAAGCCTTAAATTAAATTTTACAAAATCCTGAGTGCTCCTGAGCATTCTTTAAGTTTAAACAATGATTTAAGTTTAATTTTATCATCTACATAAGAAAATCCTTAACAATAACCTTAAAAAGCATCAGACCTCAAACAGGAATGATACGGAGGTCCTAGTAAGGTTAGTGAAAGGACCGGTTTCCTTTAATGTATTCCACCATTCACGATCGGAGATATCGCAGTTAGTGATTTAATATATATTTATACCGATGTGTTACTTAGATTTTTTCCAATTATTTTTTCTATTTATTAAATTATGACTTTGTTAATAGGTGCTCTACCTTCGCCAGTTCCCGCCGAGAGCCCATTTGTCTTTGTGTTCGGAGTCGTGTGTGGGGTTTTGCTTGTGGTGTTGGTATTGGTCCTTGTACTGTGCCTTGTCAGGTAAATAATTAACCTTTACGAGCTAAAGATTATTTAAATTTTTAATTAACTCGTTTAAATGTTTTTTGTTCGGCAGGAGGAAAAATGGACATCCTTACGAAGAAGGTGAGCGACTTGGTCTTACTGCATTGATTCGTAGAACTGTACATCGTAATGGTCACCTACCTCGAGGTAAAGGTGAATATATTTGGTATGGTTGCCTTCTGTCGTATGCTTTCCTGCATGAAGAAATGCCGAGTGGACTGATCCTGTTTTTAGGATCGACTTGATAATTTGATATTTCTGAAAGGATTTTTGTAGTCACTGTTGTTATAAAAAATTTTGTGTAGAAAGAACTTGAATTAACAATTATACTTTCTCAAATTATTCTTAATTTAGTCATTTTTTAAATTGAGATTATTTCTTTGTTTATGTTTTTGATGTCATTCAAGATTTATAGCAGCATGTAGTTTTTTCCTTTTGTTGATCACATTTTTGTTTCAAATTTTAATACTTTTTCTCTATAGATTTTTAATGAATTCTTTGAATGTCGGCATAAAATTTATATAGAAATTTACTATAATTTTTATTTCTAACTTTAAATATATGAAATCTCAGCATAAAATTATAATTTGAAAACAACATTCATCGTGAATAAACAGTTAGTTTGTACATTCATTTTAATATTATTATTTCATGTAACTATTTAAAAAAATACAAAGTTTTCAGATAGTCATAAACTTGCATTAGTTTTATATATATTTAAAATAAAAAATTATTTTAAAATTAATAAAAACAAAAACACACAAAAACCAAATATCTGAAAAGATTTTATATTTATATTAAAATAATTAACAGAATATAAAAAATATATATAATGAATAAAATGAAAGTAAGAAGCCTTGTAAATGAGCAAATGATTAAATATGTGTGTGCGCACATACTTTGTATATAAGTAATTCATACATAAGCATATTTTAATAGTTTACATCTTTCTTATGAGTTTACAAGTTTAGTTTGTATTATATTTGTATTATAACACTTATTAAGAAGAAGCTGTGTATTAATTTCTGAAGCAAATATAAAAAATATATCTAATATTATAAAAAATTAATGTAACTAATTTCTTTACATGAATGTGAAAAAAATTATTCATTAACAAAATATGATGATTTAATTAAATATTTTAAAAATATTTAGAATAATTGATGTAGTTAAGTTATTGAGTAGTAGTAGTAAAGTTATATCAAGGGAAATTTATAATAATTTTTGAGATTTTTAGTAAAGATATGAAAAAATTATTTTAATTATTTAATCTTTGTATTATAAGGTCCATTCTGAGCTTAGTAATTTAAAAACATAATACATTTTGTTCCTTATTCTGAATTATTATTGTTTGATTGAAAGTATAAATTTAATGGATGTGACTATCAGAAAATTTGATTAAGCATCATTTGATTTGCTGTTTTAAAACTGCTGATTCTTATTTTCACTAGTTTTTTTTTATGAATCAGCACATGAAGTGTTTTCTTCTATCAATTAATTTTTTCTGAATGCAGTTTTTGTTCAGAATTTCTTACTATATGTCAAGAAAGAAAACAATTTCCAACAAGAGAACTTGATTTGAATTTGTTTTAGACTTTATAATTTTTCATAAGTAGCTTAGCATAGTACTTATCTGAACAATCTCTTATTAATCCAAACTGCAAGCTTGCATTTCAGATTAAATTTGAGTTAGAAATAATTTATTAGAAATTGGAAGTTTTATAGAAAAATCAAATTTTAATATACAAATGAGTTATATTTAATTTAAAAATAAGTGTTTCTGCATTGTAACTCATTGGGGCTACTTAGGTGACGCACATTATTTCACACCACATGATAGATAAATTTAAAATAAAATATTTAATAAGTATCTACCGTAAGTAATAGATATGTATTATATCAATGGTGCGGCTTTCTTTATATTCTTTTAAAATGTCAATTTTTCAAAGAAAATATTTCTTGAAAAAATTGGTAAAACTTCATGGTTAATTCCACAGAAATAACCGCCATTTTTTTGCCTGGACCGCATTTAATCAGAGACAAAAGCTTATCTTCATATTCATTGCACCCGAAATGCATAGTAAGTAAGTAAATAAAGAATATGAAGATAAGTTTTTGTCTCTGATTAAATGCGGTCCGGGCAAAAAAACATTGGTTATTTCTGTGGAATTAACCCATGAAGTTTCATCAGTTTTTTCAGGAAATATTTTCTTTGAAAAATTGACATTTTAAAAGTATTTAATAAGTACTTGTTAAACTAAATTCTTTCAGAATGTTTTAGAGAGAACAACAGAATCCAATTACAGGGAACAGTAATATTACATTTAATTTATTATTAATTTTTCTTAGAAGAGCTCAAATATTTATGTATGTGATGTGTATATA